TATGTAATTACATAGATAAATAAGTACAGTGTATCCTCTTGGTTAGCAAAATAAATAAAGAAATAAATAGTACCAAATTTAGTGTAAAGGCTATATTTAGTTGCAAATACACATTTTACTTGTTACCAACCAATGAGAACCTTTCTTTAGGAAAAAAACTATGTACCAATGAAAAACATGATTAAAATCTATTATTTAAATCAATGTTTCCTGCTTGTTGTTTTAAATCTTTATTAAAATCAGTTATTTAAATAGCATTAATTTAAATCAATCTACCTTGATGGAATACTGACCCCACCCTGGTGAATATTTCCTGTATGATGGGGCCTGTCATTATGATTTCTTGTGAGCTTCCTGCTAAGCTCTGCCAGAACATTTTGCAAGACTGATATATGATGAAGTGCTACTGGAGTAATTGCGTCATATGCCATAATCTATACAGATGCACAGTTTCACGACAAAGGTGTGCATGTATGTGTTGGGGTGGGTTGGATCTTGCTCTGCCTTCCCTGTTTATATGAAACATTGCTGTGGTTTTGTCTGCCATAATCTGAACAGTTAACCCTTTCAGTACTGGAAGCAATACTGTGCAAGCCTGATGAATAGCCTTATTTAGGACATTTGTATAAGTGACCTTCTTGAGCCATCTAGAGACCTTGGTGTACAAGATGGTGTACGTGAACTCCCCACTGTAAAGTGAAGACACCTTTCATTAATGTCTCTGATGGTCATGGTGGAGAGAAGAGTACTCCTTTAGATACTTTTAGAGGATCCTTCAACCAGTTTAATGGTGACAGGACTCCAGTGGGACCTGCATCTTCATCTCCAGATGATAACCAATGGACCAATATACAGACTTCAATCACTCTTGCATGCATCAAAAGTGAAGTCTGGCACCCTCAGTTACGTATAAACAGGAGGCCATGTGTCCTAGAAGTCAGACACAAGCTTCTTACCGAAGTCTGAGGTTGGATCGGTAGCTGAATGACCAGATCTACTACAGTGCTGAGTCTGTTGTTAGGCAGATAAGCCTTTGCTGAGGTGGTGCCACTACCTACCTGGCATTTGGTAAATACCCTCAGTGCTACTTATAGACTGAAAGGCAGAACCCTATATTGGTAATGGAAATTGCCCACCTGAAACTTTAGGTACTTCCTGTGGGCAAGATGGCTAGCTATATGAAAGTAGATGTTCTAAAGGCTGAGAGCTACACACCAGTCTTGCAGATCCAGGGAGGAAATCAGAGACCGTTCTGAACTTCATGTGAATGAAGGTATTCAATTGTTTCAGTTGAAGAACTGGAAACCAGCCCCACTTTTTAATTGGGTATTGGAAAGTGATGGGAATAAAAACCACTTGAGGCATTTCTTCCACAGCTCCAAGACTTAAAAATAACTTCCCCTCTTGATGCAGCATGCTGTAATGAGAATAGTCCTTACATAAGGATGGAGAAGGAGCAGGGAACATCTGGAATTGGATGGAGTACCCCACCTATAAACTCTCCAGCACCCACTGGTCTGCAGTGATAAGGCTCTAGGTCCCACAAAAATAATGGGAATGGATGGAAAGAAAAGGATACTTCAAGAAATGCATGCGATTCCCAACCAAGGAGACAAATCTGCTGACTTGAAGATGACAAGAAGAGCACCTAACAAAAAAGAAGATAACTCATCTTGTGCCGTAACTTGGGTTCTTTGAGATGCGTGTCCCTGTGGGTGCTCCACTTCAGGTGTCAGTGCGTCCCAGTGCTGTTGATCGGAGATTTTCAGTAGCAGTCGGGGGTGCGTGTGCACAGTAGCAGTCTCATGGTGCCACTGGTGCCTCATCTAGCACGTGCACGCCCCGACCTCTTCAGTCCCTTCTCTACTGTGGAGTGTTTAGCTCATACTCGGAAGTAGAGGGGAGGAGGGTGGGTAGTGGAGTACCCACAGAGACACTCACTCGAAGAACTTCCGTTACTGCACAAGGTGAGTAACCTTCTCTTCTTCTTCGAGTGCTGTCCCTTTGGGTGCTCCACTTCAGGTGAACGTAGAGCTGGCGTGACAAACAGGTCTATATGTGGGGATCCCCACATGTGTAAAATATGATGTGTTATTTCGTCATTCAGTTCCCATTCATGCTCTTGGGAAAACTGTCTGCTTAATGTGTCCGCCATTATATTTAGTCGACCCAGGAGGTATGCTGCTGTCATAGTGATGTTGTGTTTTATGCATCAGATCCATAGTTTTAAGGCCTCTGTGCATAAGGAGTGGGAATGTGCTCCAGCCTGGCGGTTTATATAGAGCATGATGGACAATATTGTCCATCAGGACCCTTATCGTTTTGTCTCATATAAGAGGGAGGAAATGTAGGCACACATTGCGGACCACGTAATTACAGTCAGCTCTTCAGCATTTTCATGAATGTTTTAGAATATAGCAGCTAGCTGCCTCTCTTTAGATGTGGCATTTACTAACAAAGCTCGATGGAGTTAAAAAAAATTGACCTTAAGAAAAAAAAGACTATATTAGCTTCTCTTCAATGCTGGATAATAAAAGGTGTGAAAATAAAATTAAAAGGCTCATGCCTAAACAGAAGTACTTTTGGAGGTGGGGGTGAATTGATAAACTTTTAATACTTTGTTTTCATTGTCATTTTAATACACTCTCTCAGAAGCTTAAAAATAAAATTGCTTTTCCTTCTGGTTATTGTTGGCAAACACTAACACCTTTTTACATCTCCAACCCCGTCCGTCTATCTGACAGAATGAAATGAACTGCTTTTTGTTAATTTCCTTGTTAGTGTATCAACATTATTTATGTGAACTAAGGAAAAAAAGCCTGCTCATGCCATCTATCCCTTTTTATGCTATTTTCAGATTTATAACAAACGTCTGAAATGTTTTCCCTTTCTTCAAAAAGGTTTTTTTAATACTTGTTTAGAAAAAAAATCCTTAAAAATATGAGGAATATCAAGTCGTGTTGTTCCTTGCTTTTTGTTCTTCTTGGCAAACCACAGAATAAGATGAAAGCTTTCTTTTCCCTTATCTGAAGGAGTGAGGACATGAAACGTTGAACAAAAATCTGCTCTCCCAGCTGTCTGAATTAAATGGGCGTTGGAAGTTTTAAACAGTCTGACTAGAACCCTGTGCAGCCATTAGTTGAAAACTGATTTAAATTGGTTTAGGTTGAATTTACAAGTAAATGAAGTCCTTTTCTATACACAAAATTACACTCATTTAACTAAACTGGCACAACGTCACACATTTAGTTAAATTTCTGTGTGCCGACAAGCCCTTACACAAAACTAAATTGCTCTTAGCCAATTTTAAACCGGGGTTAGCACTGGTTTAACAAAATCGTTTTCAATCTGATTTTAGTTAGGCCCAGTCTACAAAGATATACTTATATACCTAAAGGTGTGATTTTATACTAATTTAACTTACACTAGCAACTTGCGTATACAAGGCCTCAGCTGTGTAAATGTAACCTTTGTTGGTAAATGATGTCTTAACCCTACTAATTCTTCTGCCATTCAGAAAAAACAAAGCAGAGAAGACTTGCATTTTTAATGTAAAAAACAAGTTGAACTTTTTAAAAATAAAACAAAACAAACCGCACACCCATAGGCCATCTTTATACATCAAAGAAAACATTTTTTTAAAATCACACCAGCCTAGCTTTATTCTTGTTTACAGGTCAATTTTAGCAACTTCTCCTGTACAACCAACAGAAGTGCATCAAAGGGTACTGTGCATATCTTGCACAAATAGCTGTTACTGTTTTGAGACCAAATAGTAAAATTTAAATTAATTCAAAAAATTCCCAGATAGATTAAAACAATTTTAAGGCTGAGTATGTTTTATGTGTACATTATATGACAATGTGGCTCAAAAATCAGTAAAGTCAGAGTTAAACCTGAAACTCTATTCTTAAAAAGGTGAAGATTTGAGATTTTATTAATTTAAATAAAACTAAAGATTAGTGGTCTGATTTTCAAAAGATGCTGAATATCTCTAGTTCCATTGACTTCAATGGGACTCCAATGCCCCTAAAATATATAGATGTTAAACAAACTCAACTATATTCTAAAATAAAAATTATTAAAACCCATTCCTCATTCACTCACCTGCTGTGGCTCAAATAAAACAAAGGCTTACATGTGTTTAACTTTACTCAGTGTGAAAAGTACCACTGTAATCAACAGGACTACTTGCTGTACATAAAGTTATGCACGTGTGTCAGCATTTACAGGATCGGTGCTTTAGGCCTTACCTACATGGGAAAAATTTCATTATAGCCTAAGATACAAATTTAAACCAATGTAATTACACCAGTATAATCCCCCACATAGCCTTGTACTGAAATAAGAGTTTCTATGTCTACACTGCAGACCTTAGAGTGGCACAGCTGTACCGCTGCAGCTGCGCTGTTTTAAGGTCTCCTGTGTAGCTGCTCTATGCCGGTGGGAGAGCTCTCTCTTTGGCCAAATTAAACCACCCCCAACAAGCAGAGGTAGCTATGCTGGCAGGAGAGCATCTCCCACCAACATAGCACTGTCCACACCAGCGCTTCTGTCTTTGAAACTTATGTTGGTCAGGAGGGTGTCTTCTTCACACTCTTGACCGACAAAAGTGTTTGTGTAGATATAGCCTAAGAGCGGGTTTCTTCAGTTTAGCTTGTGTCAATTGGAAAGGAGCTTAAGCAAAACAAAAAAAACCCTATCCTTATGCCAAAGTAAGAGTATCTACACAAGCGGTTATAGCAGTATAACTATGTTGGTATAACTGGTAAAACTTTCTGGTAGCCTTACTCTTGAGTTCAGTGTTCCAGATTTACCCTGTAACAACTGGTGACATCAACATCACCTGAAGCAACACTGAGCAATATTTCAGACAATTTTGAAGCTACCAGATGTCACAGGGCAAACATGGAAACCTGAAAGAAGTACTGAGAAAGTACATAAAGAAGAAAAATTTGGGATACATATGTACAAAGCATTGTAGTTCATCTTTAACTTACCTATGGTACCTAGATTACACTTCACACCTCGTATGCATAATCACTCTGTGAAGACTCCTGTGATGAATTAAACAAAAGACACACCATTTCAGTTTTGTAGCTGTTATTATACAGGTTTACAGATTTAGCATAATTATTTTTCATTTTTAAACTCTTATCCATGAATTAGACTGGTAAAAATGCAGATTTGTTAATGAATAATTCAATATTTTTTCAATGTGAATGAAAAAACTAGAACTAGAATTAAGAGCTTCTATCTGAAAATGGGAAATACTGTTCTCAAAACATTGAGGCTTTGTCTACACTGGCAACTGAACAACAAAACTTTTGTCATTCAGAGGTGTTAAAAACAAAAACAAAAACCACTCCCGCAAAAGACAAAAGTTTTGTTGACGAAAAGCGACTGTGTGACAGCGCTTTGTTGGCAAGAGTACTCTCCTGCTGAAAAAGCTACCTCCACTCGTTGGGAGTGGAAGTTTTTTGTCGACAGGAGAGCTCTCTCCTGCTGACAAACAGCAGTTACATCGCGTGCCTTTTAGCGGCACAGCTGTAGCGGCACAGCCATGTCGCTAAAAGCTGCATAGTGTAGACAAAGCCTGAGTGTTATATTTCACATGAGATAGGAAAGGCCACTCCAAAGCATTTTACTTTCTTCACATGTACTGTTGGGCCAGCTGCTCTACTGATACAGAAAATAATACATTAATCTGGGCATTAGGCCAATACTGGATCAATACTTAATGGAAGATCCCTACTTCAGCTCGGAAGCCCCCCAGCTATTGAACTCATGTCAAGTTTTCCCAACAGCACATGAACTATAACACCAATGGGAGCAACAGCCAGCCAGCAAAGTGCTGGATGCTATATGCACCAAGACTCCTGAGAAACTAATCAACATAGAAATGCTTTTCAACAGCGAAGCTTTGGTGCCCTACCAAGTGTATGGTGATCCATTTTTTCCCCTTATTTAAATCAGGCAACTTTACATAATCTCATACATTTTCTATAGATTCTGGCCTCTTCTCTTACATAAACCCTCATAACTGGAAAATATATTCTGCTTTGTTGCTAACCTTATGACTCCTGCAAATACAGTAAACAGCCACCTCTTTCTTTCACATGAATCTTTCTACCTCTCTCCTGAAGAGTTCTCACTACACTGAGAAGTAAAACCCTGTTGCTCAGACAGATTTCTAGACCATTCAAATATTTTTGCCCCTCATCCATCTTCCCTCCCACCCCCAAAGAATCTGTGCTTTCTGCTACTGCACCTGTAAGCAGTTAACATTGTAAGAAAGCAGTATTTTAAATTATCAAGAAATGAGAATAAGCAATAGTGATAAAGAAGTATTTTTTAATCATTACTTTAGTGGATTTTGAAGGGAAATATCTACAAAGTATGAATTTTTACACAATCTGAATTTTGGGCTTAAATACTGAGTCTTAAGGAGTTTCAGTCTAAACTCTGAATTTCCTTGTTTTCAGCAATATTCTTATTCCTATTCCTATTATGTTATTTAATTCCAAGCATGCCCACAACATGCTAAGTGTTTTCTAAGGCATACTTCCTGCTCTGAAGAGCACACCTTATACATATTTTGTTTTCTATATTAATAATAAAAACATCAGAGTGATAGCTGATTGTTTCTTGTTCCAGAATGTGCACATTGCCCCCTACTAGCCTTTTAAAGCAATGACACAGATAAAAGGAACAGTGATGTCAGCTTCTATTGTTTTTATTGCATTTTCACACAAGCTCCTTCGCACTTTCTCCCCTGCTGGCCCTCGCAATTGCAAAGAATTCCCCCTAAACATCCCCATATCTCCTTTTTATCCTCCTTCCAATCCCTCCTTAAAACTCTCCTTTGCAGAGATGCCTACAAAAAACTTGACAAGTTAGGCCACTGGTGCACTTATGCTCTTGATGAATTATGCACCACTGCGCACATGCAGAATTCATGGCCGGCACAGAATTCTCTCCCACCCCCCCACCCCCCAAAATACATTCTGCCAAAGAAGTGCTGCAGTTCCACCTTTCACACCCCATAGGATGCTGTGGTGCCAGAACAGCTGGCTGACTAGCAGTAACAGTTAGCAGCCAGCTGCATTAGTCACAGCAGCCTGCCTGTGCAGCCAGGTTAGGAGGCAGAATACGGCACGTGGGACTGCTGGTGGGCTAATAGACTGGGGTTCAGAAGGGCTGTGGGGGACAGACTGGGGTGTGGGCTCATGTGCTAGTGGGGTGACAGCATTGAGCCAGGGGCTGAGTGAGAGGGGGGCTCCAGCACCACATGGGGTCAGGGACACACAGGAACAGGGGCAGATATGCCAGATTGAATGGGAGAGGCTCAGGATCAGCCAGGGTCTGCATGGGGGAGACTCCCCACCTCCGTAACAATCCCTCCTGTCCCCCCGCTCCCCAATAGACACTGTTCTATATTTCTCCCATGCACACCCAACAACCCTCCAGGTTCACTCCCAGGCTCTTTCCCTCTCCCTCAGCTCCTCCATTACCCCTGATTCCCCCAAGCCTTTGCACTGCTTCTGAGGAGTACAGGAAATACATTTTTGTATTGTAGTTTAAATGAAACAAAAAGTTCTGTATTAATATGATTAGTAAGGAATCTATTTGCCAAATAAAAACAACATTTCCTGAATCTTTCTTTTTGTCTGTATTGTCACAGACATACTTGCTGACAGGTATTTTGAAACAAATTACCGAAATAATTGAAACTGGCATGAGTATACTGTGTTATTCTGACAAATGAAAAAAGCAGAATTTTAAAACATTATGCACAGAATTTTTAATTTTTTGGCACAGAATTCCCCCAGGACTGCAGTGAGACCATTGCTTATCATGCTGACCAATACTGTCTCTGTTTCCTTGTAACACCCCAACTGTATATATCCATCTGTTGCCTCGTCTTACACTTACATTGTAAACTTTTTGGGGTAGGGATCATCTTTTTGTTCTGTGTTTGTAGAGCGCCTAGCAAAATTGGGTTCTGATCTATAACCAGGGCTGCAAGACAATATGGTAATACCAATAATAAACAATACCTTTTTTGGCCATGACCACTGGTTTAAAACTGGTGTAGCAAATTAGATTTGAGAGTAAAAATAGTTAAGAAATTAATATCTTAAATTCTATGGGTAACTAATGATGATCAAAAGGTGGAGACTTTCAAAGGCACATTAAGGTAACTAAATTCTATAATTATACTGCTATGGTTAAACTGTTATAACTTTACTGTGTATACAAACCCTTAATGTTTGTTAAAAGGGTTTTTCCAAGTGTTAGCTCTGCGGTTCTCAACAGTGGGGGAGACCCCAAAGTCTTTAGGGGGGCATGCTGACCTTTCCCATTCAGTCATGGGGTTGCAATGCCACTCATTCAAAACTGGCCCAGTCACTCCTCCATCGTGACTGCCAAATTTGAGTGAGAGGCTTTGCAACCTGGCACACAGAGTCAACAATGCCAGCCACTGAAATTTAGCCTGGCTGCCCCTCGAATTAGCACTCTTTAGTGCCAAAATTGAGAAATACGGTCCTGAAAACTTTGTGGATACTATGGTATGTTCTCATTTAAAATGTTTCCCAGCCTATGCACAGTTAGACAGCAGGATCAAAGGACTGATTTATTTAAAGAAGAATCTCCTTTATTGGAATCAATGTATTAGATGGCCCAATTCGATCTAGATTACATTGGAAAATCCCCTTTTGTTCACCACAAAAAAGTTGGGGACATGATTAAAAAAAGGTTAATCCCTGTTAGCTTAACGTGACTGAAAAAAATCACCCCCTTTTCACCCTTTTGCAGTAGTAGTTCGTTCCTTCCAGAGGACATAACATTAGGCCTAATCTTACACAGTTTTAATAGTGGTGTAACCATATTAGTTCAGGAATCATTCTTTTTTTAAAACCGATATAGTTACACTGGTACAACCCCTAGCACTGATGCAGTTGTACCACTATAGACTGTTTCCCTTCCTGTATACGAACAAGCTATATCAGTACTAACACATATTTAACAATACAGTATTACTGTATTCACAACTGGGGGGTTGTAACCCTTCATTTATCTCAATGTAGTTAAAATTGTGCAATTTTTCTGAGCAGACAGGGTCTTTATTCTGCTGTTGAAGAGCAAAATTCAAATCAATGGCTCTCCAGCTTTACAAATCAGTCAATGCCATATAGCAAGGACCTAAAAAGAACTATGACCTTAAAAGAAATAAGCATGGTCACATGTCCTTACTATGTGATGCTCTGACTTTTGAAATGTAAACTATCTTTCTAAGCAGCATCCCTATTCTCTCATGCCCTTCTCTATGCTGATACTCATATGTCAGGAGTTTGTTTCTTAAACTATTCATTCAACTGACACCCACTTTTAAAATTATGATGGAAAAGATAGATACACCAATAAACTCAAAAACAATTAACACACTCATGCATGCTTTATGTTTAATGAATATTTCCATTACAACGCTCCATTATTGGCAATATAAATGAAAATTTGCCACCAAATGGGGGAAACACACCGTAGAAAACTAAACACCAGGCCCTCAATTCCTTTTGATATTAATGTAAGCCACGCACATAGAGCTGGGTCTTTATACAGTACCTAATTTTTTACATTAATATATTTTCTTAATTCTAATTTATTATATAGTTTCAAAGTCTGCACAAAACTTCATCAGGTTATACCAGATTGTCACCTAAGATCTGTAGCATTCTGTAGCTAAATTCATTTTACATTACAAGCTTTAAACAACAGCCCAAGTTTTACAATATTTGGGAACATACTTACGAGGATGTAAAAATATTACATAATAATATAGTGCTGTATGTACACCTGTATTTCAACTAGGACTTGTGGCATAGAAAGTTATACTGGTATAAAGCAGGGTGGGAATTTAAACTGTTATAGTCATACCAGTGTAACTCCCGGTCTGGGCACTCATATTCCAGTATAAGAGTGTCTTTTTCTGGTTTAGCTTATGTTGTATTAGAAGTGATTTAAGCCAAGCTACAAAAATGTGGAACAAGTTTGA